AAGCATACTCGATTTTTTGGTTCGATCTTTTGTGAAGGACTGCAATGAGATGGCATATGCGAGCAGATGGGTGATTTACCCACCAAATAAGTACATTCTGACCTTGCATTATTTTTCCACATACAGTAAGAGACAGTTGCTGAACTTTTCTTCTTCATCTTCAATAGATGGAGACAGAGGGAAAATATCCAATAGGTCAAAGGTCATACAGCCCAACTTTCCTGCCACAATAGATTTTATCTGTTATTTTAGTGAACTCTTGTAGTTAAGAATCGTATGATCGATCAGTTTATTGGCAACCATTAGGTAAATAATGGGAAGCATGTTACATTATATATTAGGCTTCAAGAAATGAATCCGTGCGGAATTATCCTATCATATATATCCCACTAATGCAAAGAACCTTTCGCTTTCACCGGTGACTTTGGTTTGCTATATAACTCTACTAAGGCACGCGGTGAATGCCAAAGGAGAATGCCTGTTTGGCCCGTAGTTTTAGATCTTCATGAATCGTGATGGAACACTAAACTACCATATTCCATATCGAGTATTTTCAGGTTTGTTACATTTTTTCCTCATATATTATGAAGTTGCATTTAGTGATTACCTGAAATACCTTGATAATGGGTTTAATGATACCATCTTCTGTATCTATATAACTATAGTTGTGATGTGCGCGATTTATGCATAGAATGATGCAATATCAGTTGTACAGAAAATATCTTTTACATAGAACGATTTTTGGATTGAAGATGCGGACTACTAAACAACCATTCAGTTATACGACTCTTGTGGTACAAAATATTACCTGAGAAGTGCAGAACGCGAAGACAAGTTTCAGATGCAGTCCATTACATGGTTGTTCTACAAAGCACTTCTGTATACTCTTTCACACGTATCACTTTGTATTTTAGTTTACAGAAATGATAATAATGCAAGAACAAGAGTAATACAGTCAGTTACTACCTTGTATTTCTTGAGACAAAAAATTTCCTATCCATGGAATGCATGTCGGTTTATTTAGATCTTTTATTCAAACCATTTATATTGTAAACTTTGAATATTATGAACGTGTGCAATAAAACATTTGGTTCAAGACCACTTCGCGAGAGAAATACGCTACACAACATGATCTTAACATCGTTCTCAAACCTTACAGGTTTAAATTAAAAGTTTGAGTTGATGAAAATTTTAAGTTACTTCATTTCAATATGACAACAAATAGTGTCTGTACATTACTGTCAAGCGTTCAAACGAATACGGAGCATTCAATGCTTCCTGGAAAATGTAGAATTATTTGTAGCGTACCTCTTGAACGGTTTCTACAACAGTCATCTACCAATCAGAAGTATTTTTTTACATAATATGTTCCAGTTATTGATATAAATATTTAAAATAATTTTTTAAGCCGCTATAAATAACATCAGTTCTTCCTCCTTCGTTAGCGATGTAGAAACAAATTTAAATGTAGAATATTTTGTAGCTGTAAGCAGACATTCGCATTCTTTACAATAGTATGCATGCGTGGGTTTCTCTTGTAGTGAGAGAAGTCCGTCATTTCCATTAAGGCGATGTTAGCGAAATGGCTCATGATTAAAATGAGAAAGCATAGGTCATGGAAACTTGCAGTAGCGATTTATAAGACTTCTGGAGTGGATAACTAAGGCAAATCATTGATTAATCGATTTGATCTAAATTTTTCTGACGAAATCAAAACAGTATCAAGTGTCCAACAAGAACCATGCCTTGCAGAAAAGTAATGCAGTCTACTCATGCAGTAAGTATACTTACAGAATTGTGCTATATTATAAGATGTATTTCCCTAGAAATTTAATAAAGTAATAGGCTAGACAAATTCATAATTTCCTTATGAAAATTACTGATCGATAATGCAAATTGGCTTATTTAACATGCGGACGGGCATACATGACAAAGATAGAATGATTCTATCGATCTACCTAACACCTGCTGTCGATTATCATAAGAGACGCAGAAACCATAGCAAGGTTGTGTGTGCAGAAGAGATCGCACAATGACGACACCTGTGGTGTGGGTAGGGGAGCTCTCAGGGCTAACACACTGTATATCCGCAATTGCCTATTGATAATTGCCCAGTGACTACAATGACGGAACAATCTACCACTCAAAAAATTGTAAATTGCCTAAACTCTCCACCTGCCGCTGCCTTCACCAGTTTATCACTATTATTATGATACACGAAAAAAAAAAGACTTCGAACTACTTTCAATATCGTTCAATTTTAATTTCAAATATAGTTGTCTGGAACTTCATTGATCTTAATACTAGAGAACTTGATAAATATCGCGAGATACAGCCACAATTCACAAACTTTTGTTGAGAATTTCAGTACAAGACTAGATCATAATGCACCAATATTACTGTGACAAATAGTTGTCAAGTAATGAATACTAAAAAGCAAGATTTATTCTAGCTAAATGTATTCTATGCTTTCCAACTCACGAGATCTATCATATTTTATGTATATACCAAATAAGTATCTTTACTGGTTTGGTAACTATAATGCTACAAGATCTAAAAGTTATGCAGAATTAAATGATTTAATTTTACAATAAAGTTCTGAGGATATGTCAAAGAAAAAACGTGAGTCCCACTGAGGCACTTGCCGCACTTAATTATTAAGTGGCACAATATAAATCTTAAATATTTAAGGACTGCTTGCACGAATTTTGAAACAAATTTTTCAACTTTTATTTTTGAAAATAAAAATGTTCCAAATTAAAAAAGTAGGTATGTTATTCATGACACAGTAAAACAGCAATAAGGGTCATGAAAGACTGATGACTCATAAGTTTTTCAACTGTACAGAAATAAAAAGCATAAAACTGAAACACAACATATTGTGCAGTTAGAAGGTTGTCGATCCTAAAGTTTGATTTTTTTTTCTTCGTTGTACTTCTTGCTCGATGGCTGAGGCATGCGCTTGGATGTCAAATTCATCTGAAATTATTTTCGTATTTTTTTAATTCGAAATTTTTTCGCGCTATGTCGTTGCACTAAACGATTACAATAATTACGAGAGAGGAAGAGAGCGAATGATATCGACTACTGAATTTCCTATGAGCTCAATAAACTAATTTTTGAAATGACTAACTTTTTTTGAGGGAAGCAAAAAATTTCGACACATTACTATAATAATTACACTTATTAGTCCTTTCGTCATAAAACAGATCCTGAATCAATGATATAAAACATATATAGGACATTTGAAAGTTCTTCAACTATTTCCACACGTGAATTTCAGACTTATTAATTCATAAAAAATAAATTGTGCTAGAATAGAAACATACCTCAACATCAAAATATGAATATTTGTTGTGACTGAAATAATCAGAACATTTGTAGTCCTTCTGACCTCTGCTTCTCTTCAATCCATTCTGAACCAGAATTTATTACTAGTTCATAAACTATATATAATCAACAATAAAGTGAAAAAGAGAATGATTTCAGTCTTCTTTCTGCGAACACAATATGAAAATTATAGTTAAATTTTCGCTTTATAAAATCTGAGATTCACTTGATATATAGAATTCAACTTGCAATATTTGGTGAATGACTTGAAAAATTGCATACTTTACGCATATTAAATATATTATACATACACTTCTTAAAATACGAAAGACCGACCAATAAAATGGCGTTATAGTTTATTTCAGTGCTTATTTCTTAAGTATTTATATACTTAAGAAATAAGCATAAAGTAATCAAGAGCTAAAATATTTCCTACTAACTTGATAGACAAGCACTGCAATGAACTTCAACGTGAAGCAACATAATTTCAAAACACTACCAGCTGATCAAGTGACCTATTACCGGCAGAAAATCAAAAACAAATCACTCCCCCTTACATTTGCAAAACTGAATTATATTAAATCATAAAGTACAATAACAGAAAAAGAACATCACCTGTTTCATAGACTCTGCATGTTCAATTCCAGTAGAATAACATGTTCTTATGAACCTATTCATTCCTGTTACACGTGAACCTGACTTCAATATGAGAAAGCCCAACATGTCTTAAAAATAACAATTTTACCATATCAAAACAACATCGAAATCTTTAGAGAAATAAACGTCGTTCGAAAACAACGGGCTATACACCCAAGCGTTAAAACTTTCAGAACATAGTCGTATGTGAAACGCGTTGAGCAGTCTTTCTCTGTTGTCATATTCCTCTAACTAATACAACTATTTCAGATTTTTCATACCTTATGCACTACTACTTCTTCTGCATCCCTCACATGTCTCTTTTACTAACGTGCCATCGTTCTCAATCTTCAATTGCAGTTGTATAAGTTTGCACTTACATATATCCTGGATGTCCCTTTACGCAATGTCAAGTCCACATTTTAAGTGCATTTATTGTGTATTCTAAGTCATTGCGTGATGGCATGTGAATCCTCTACCCGAAAGCTGTTATGCGGTTGTCATCGTAGCAATTACTGACTGAGACGGTAACAGAAAAATAAGCGTCAAGTATATTTACCTTTGTAGAAGGTTTTGGTGTGAAAGGACATTAACATTATAGATGGTGCAGTCCACTATTAATATTGTCGTCAATAAACCAATCAATTAACGATATTCTATTCAAACAATATGATATGAACTAAATAGCATTCTCTTATAGGTCACTGTTGTATTGTAGAGATGCAGAGAAGAGAGAATATATAAATTATTGATTCCACAGAATCTGCCTCACATCTCTTTAAGATTTGTAAAATATAATTGCTCTATGTTTGTTATGTTATTTGTTGTCTGCTTTATAGAGGAATTACAATATGTTTGGTGTAACTTAGTGTTGAGCTCTAAAAAGTCATTTAGACGATGTATTTAAATTTTCTGGTGTTTGCTAGCACGTGGATTTTTTCTCTTCAGTTTGTGCATCAAATTTGCTTTAGGGGTTCTTTGAATCTGTTCAGTAACTATCTGCTTGCACGTGTGGATTAACTGTATACCGCAAAATGGGGCGTCGTTTTCTAGACCATCTTGGTGGACATCGGATTTTTTCATGCGATAGCTGCAAAGCATTTTTGACTAATGAAGATGAACTCATTTCAAAGCATTTCACTGGTTAAATATTTACTTTGAAATAATTTAAGGATCATGTATAAATCATAAGGATGATGTATAAATGGACTTTTCTGATTTCCTTGATACTGTTAAGAATTATTACTTAGAATTATAACGAAATGTATTTATATCCTGTTTATCTCTCATGGTTAAAAAGTAGATTTTAGAAATCATCAACTTAAAAATTTTTCAAATACTTTTTATTGTATACATTCATATCAATTTTTGCAGCAGCAATACTATTGTTTTGGTTGCTCAACGCGGCTGATAGTTTTTAGGTTCAACAGGCCCGGCTTTTCTTTTTGATCATGTTGTCAATATTGAGTATTCGGAGATGCAACTACGAACAATGATTACAGGGCGTCATATTGTACGCGATGTCCTTTGTACGCGTTGTAAGGTGCATAAATTTTTTCCATGGTATTTTGTGAAAATAATTCAATAAAAAATAAAGCAGTTTAAAAATTGAAGATCATGTTCCATATACTAGAAAATTAGATATTGAAATAAGCCATCATTTCAGGCGTTTATATACTTATTATAAACTCTATGTAGTTTCCACTCATATCTAGTATCTAAATATTTAAATGATAAAGGTGCTTGAGGATTTAATATATTAAGCCTGGGACTTTTATCTTTGATTCGTTGGAGTGCACTGCATATTTTAAACTATTCATCGTTGAAGTCTGCAGAAAAGGATATTATTAGTTGATTTTTAAAGACAAAACTTGGCTGGATGTATGAATATGCAATGAATGAGCCTCAAAAATACAAGGAATCCAAGGTTATTCTTGAAAGGGCTCTAATCGAGTTAAGTGAAGGCATCGATAATCCAGTTGATTTAGGTAGAGATCCTCGACAGCGCTATGGTTAGAGATTACTAGTGATTCAGCTCCTATTTTTAACCGTGAGAGTTTTATGACATGTTTATACATCTTCATTGGCGCTTTTTTCTCTATTATCATCGTTTATATAGTGTTAAATAAGGAATTGTGGATATATCTCTGAAAGCCTTTTATTCCTATGTTATTCTTACTTTACTTCGATTAGTTAGAAATCACGAATCAAATTGATTTCATTTGAATCCTTTCATAAATTGATGTCATATTTAAGTCTTTACGTACTTCTCATCTATTTTTACTTCTAATATTTTACAAAAGTTTCTGACAGACGTCATTTTTCACTACTTTTCTTATTTGTATATCAACTCGAAATATGTATTCATCATTTGTAGATATGTCGCAGTTAACAATGATATCGATGTTCTTGGTTTGCGTGGACTCAATAAAATTGTGGAGTTACTTGTTCAGCTTTTTACGTTCAAGTAAATTTAGTAGCTTCAGGCACTGCCTGTATTTTGTTTTGAATATTTGAAGTTGATAGTCTATGGAATTAGATTATGAAAGTGACTATTGCTTGCGCTAACTCATGGTAATTGTGCTCTTTCAGGTTTGCGCTCTGGCATTATATTGCTTTGTCAGCGGATTTGAAATCTGGTTGAGTTTTGAAACAAAAAGTGTACAGATCTCCTCAAGCTTATTCTCAAGTTACTGAATAACATGTATTGCAGAAAATGTAGTGTCATGAAGGGATGATAGCCCATAATGATTTTCTTTCAGATTTAAATTACCAAGTATAGCTCGTCAAATCTAGGGAGTGTTTTGTTTGATGGAAAAGCACTAAACACTAATAAGATATACCTTTTAACGAAGTAATATACAGCATAGGTTTTAGAATAATCTTTTTGAATAAAAAATTGAGTACACAACATTGTGTTTGGTTCTCAGCTGTGATTTTGATAGTGCTGGACCATAAATTTGAAAGTACTTTTTTGGGAATATAGTAGCTGGATAAGCTGATAGTAGAACTTGTGTTCGCAAAATTTTGGTTGAATTAGTAAATCCTAGCTGCTTTTTTTCAAATTTTTTTTTTCAGGACACTCATTTCCAGTCATACTGATTTGCATTAATAATGACTATATTGCCTAGTAAACCTAAGAAAATAACTGGTATTGAATGGCTTGGCTTGCAACAAAGCGGGTCAGTATGTTTTGTTACTTCAAAGAAATGCAAGTGAGGTGTTTTTGTAGATGACGTCTAAAAGCTGGTGAATTGAAAATAGAAAACTTTCACATACTCTAGGAAAAAAATCTTCGAAATGTAGTAATGGGGATACTCGTAATGAATATTAACATTTGGTAGCAGTGTCAATTTTATTTTCATTCATTTGTTGAAATTAATCATACTTTATTCACCTTTCTTCATATCATCTATTTTAGATCGTCTGTGATGCATTCGCATCGAAATCACGGTTCAAATAATTGCAGTGAAAACAAGCGAAATTCTCTGTCAAATAACAGAAATATAGCTATTTCGAGGCTTTTTTTTTGTTTCAAATTCTGCTCTTTAATTTTGCAATGTGATCATGTTATTTAGAATGATTTAAAGTATCCAACAAAATATAATTACGCTTGTTTGTGCTGGTTTTTTACTGTAAGAAACAAAATATCACGTCATTTCTTTGTTTCTAAATATTATCAAATTTGAAAGTATGTCATCTTTAGTGTGGTTTTTGTAGGAATACATCAGGTAGAGGTGTTTCTGTGATTTCTACGGAAACTGGCCAGCAATCAATTCAAAGTCTTTGTGATGAAAATTCAAGTATACGATTTTTTAATATATATATATTCCGTTTCTTTTGATATCTATGTGCAGTCGCTCTCTCAATTTTGTTTTTTTAGTAATCAGATTGTATGGTTCATTAAATTTTGATGATGAAAGTTCTGTATTTTCAGGTGCGCCTGTTGTGAATTCCGACGATGAGAATGGTTCGGGTTTCACCGATGAAAATGTAGTGTTGAAATTTTCATCCATGCTTTTGCAAATAATGTCAGGAGAGTATTTCGCTCTTGAATTTGGGAGATCAAAATATCAGAAATTAATGAGAAGAAATCTAAAAAATATATGACCGTTAGAACAAGTCTTTTATAGTAATGATAACATTAAAATTACTCTCTGTTATTGAATAAAATGTCATTACTATGATCGATATTGTTTTGTCTTTTATTGCACTTTGAACTCATTTGCAGTTAGAAATTTGGTTTCAAAATCATTTGCTTCGTTCTCGAGGTCTTGTAATCAAGCATGTTCAGGGGGATGGAGCATGTTTATTTCGAGCTGTTGGTATGATTTAACAAAGAATTTTTTGCCATGTAAAATTTGCACTTTTATGATGATGTCTAGAAAAGTGAAATCGCACGAAAGATTTATGTAATGGTAATGTCTAGAAATATATATTGGTAACCAACTTCACATACGTTTTTTAGTCAAAATACTGGCTAAAAATAGTGTTATAGTAAACTTTATCTATGAAATACTGGTGAAATAGAAATAGAATACCTGCATGTTCGGTAACTGATGAAGTCTGCTTAGTGAATTCAAAGTTTTGTGGGAATGGTATTCTATAATTATGTTTCAGATTTTTGGGGATTTAAAAAGACCTTATCTTTTTGTTTTGTTTACGTAGTATTTTTTAGCCGATCAGATTTATGGTGATGAAGAAATGCATGCTGATGTTAGGCGGCTTTGTATGGACTACATGGTCAGTATATTTTTTACTGATTTAATAATGTCTCTGTTGAGATTTTTTAATCTCTCTTACCTGTTTTTCATTACTGTTGTCAGTCTAGCTCACTGTGATTCATCGATTGTATATTTGTTAGTATTTTGAAATTTCACATTTTGGTAGATCAGTATGCGCTTTACTGTAATTGAAAAGTGTTTTATGTTTTTTAATTCGCAGTTTCTACATTTAGGAACTTTCCGTATATTTTTCCCTTCACTTAATTTTAGGTATGTAGTAATAATCTTTCGAAATAGTGTATCTGAAAATTATAGCTAGTTGAATATAACACATTTGCTTGGCATCTATGTTCTGCTATTTGTAGGAGAAAAATAGTGATCATTTTTCGCAGTTTGTGACAGAAGATTACCGTGACTATATTACGCGAAAGCGACGACAAGACGCTCATGGTAACCATATTGAGTTACAAGCAATATCAGAAATATTTTCTCGCCCAATCGAAATATACGAATATTGCACTGGTATGTAATTAATACGGAGTATTATACTAGTATATGACGAACACTCATTATTCATGGGAAATGGTGTCATCTTTTACAGAACCACGAAATATCTCTAGTTCTCGTTTCGATTCTTCTCAGTCACCAGAAGCAAATCCACCAATTCGTCTTTCCTATCATGGTGCTATTCATTACAACTCAGGTTTGTAGATTTGGTTCTGAAATCTAGTGTATAGTCAGATGTCTATGTAGCATTACTAATTTTAGTCTATGCCCTAAACGAAACGACCTTTCGAATGTTTCTCGTGATGACGGTTGGCTCTTTATAATTTCATCACTAGCTTACTATTCTAATATAATTAATTTCTAAAATTTAGTAGTGTTAGTTTTAGTCATTGACCCAACTAAAGCGACAATCGGAGTCGGTTTAGGATTGCCTGAGTATTCACCTGGAGCAGCTGATAAAAGTTTATTGCAAGAAGCAATGCAAAAATCTGAAGTCCAAATGATTGAAGATGCCATGCTGAATGATAAGATTAAAATGACTGATTTTGAACGTACAGAACATGAAATTAACGAACAGGTTGTTGCTCCAGTTTTCATCCACTTGTATTAATAGAACTGCTATCATAGTGCTTAAATGTGTAAATTGAGATTGTATCGACTTGGTTCTTTACATTATGGAACTTGCATGGTTAGCCATCTCAAATTTTCGCTTCTGGTATAATTTGTGTAATCATTATTATTATATTGCATATTCTAGATAGCTCGGCAGTCATATTTGGATTATATAAAAAGTATAAGTAAAACGAAAAGTAATGATTTCTGTGAAAATCTATGTTTTGTTTCTGAACCAGGTTGTTCGCGTGCAAGTGTTCGACCTCAGGAAAGCTTTCAGGATACTATAGGTATCTTTTAAATATGTATTAATATTTATGTGGAATTTTTTAGAAGCAGGCGAAGAAGTTACCAATCACCGCTGGAGTAAGTAAATCTCTTTGAAATAAACGATGTGGATGGAATATGGTAAAATGGTAGTTGTGGTGGTGTCCAGCATGGTACATAATTGTTACAATACCTTAGAATGTAAAAAGGGTCGTCTCATTTTATGTTTTCCTAATTAAGTTCTTTAAAATCCCTTTAGATTATTGTCTCTATAAAGTAGTGTAATTTGGAATAACTTTTACATTAGGTGCGGAGTGGTTTCATGCAGCAGCGTCTGATGCAGAAGAAAGTGCATTATTAGCACAAGTTATGGCACTTTCGCAGCAGGAATTTTTGAATTCGTTAAAAAAGAAATCGCTGGATGGAAATAATGATGACGATCAGGCTGGTTCAAGCAAATCCTGTTAAATTTTTATTTGATTATAATTAATATTTTCATTTTTTTTACCAATCTGATTTCTGTGATATTTTTTGGTTATTTGTGTTAGATGTCTTGAAGATGATTTTCTTTACTTAGTTCATTTTTATGTCCATGTGTTGAAACACTGTAAATATGCTAAATTTCCCACAAATTAGTTTTTTAATTACGAAAATTTAGAACGCGTGCCATTTGTTTTTTTGTTTTTTTTTTTATTTTTTTGAATTGCATTTTTATTTGCAGTTTCTTATTTAACTTTTGATAGAAGCAGCATCTGTGTAATTTTGGTTATTATTTTCTTTATTTTTGTAAAAGATTGTGATTTGTTTTTTCTGTTCATTTATGTCATTTTTCAATGGAAATTATTATTTGTGCTGAAATTATTGTGATTGGTTGTAATTTTTTTCATACTTTCAAACCGGTAAAATTTGCTGGACGTTCCATTTTTCTGTCAAATAATGCTGTCTTATATTTTTTATATGATTTCTATTACACAAAATAACAAATCATTGACGAGACTTATAGAGAGTAGATGTTATATCTGTATTGTGGTTGATTAAATGTGTATTTGACAACCAGATAAAACAAATGGGGTATGAAATAATTTGCAATTTTCGTGCTTCTTTCTTTTTTCAATGCGTTATTTATATTGGCTTGCTATTACTAATATGCCTATATCATTTCAACAAAAGAAAATAAAGTGCATACATTAATTTTTGAGTTGTTCTGTTGAAGTACTTTACTTAGTCGCCATGTTCCTGAACCAAATCAAAGAATTGATAGATCATTTTGGTCATTGGTGCTGCTTTATACTTCTATATGTGAAACAGAAGTTAGGGTCATATAATCTTTGTTGTGTGCACTGGGAACTTGAACATAGTGAGGGCTTATTAGTCATCGTTTATGAATATTGTAGGAGAACTTCGAGATTCGACTTTCGGAAGTTCTATCGTTTCAGTGACACAATAAGTTTATAGTGCATTAAGGAATTAACCTTTTACAAAGGAGGTGGTTTTTCTTGCAGTTTCAGAAGTCTGAAGATTTCTTTGTTATTAGGATACTTTCTTCGGAAAGGTTCGTCGAATTTACAACCAAAATAAAATGTTGCTGTAGAATTCAAGCAACGGTCCGATCGCCACAAAAACCTGAGTAGAATGTACTAGAGCGATTTAGAGACAATGATGGCAATAAGGTCATACTGAGATTTATAGGTAATACCAGTTCTCGTTTCGTTGAATTAATTGATAGTTATGATAATGGAAGCAAGAAGGATGAAATAACTCGAATGCGGAATGGAATACCTGAAAAACTACAGTTTATTGTATCATTAAATTTATTAGCAAAAAGAAAGATGCTGTAAAAAATAATTCAAAGAAAACGATAAGTAATAAACGTACAGTGTGAGCATTTGGACAAAAAATATCACAGTAAACCCGAGATGATATGGTATTATTCTTTTCCTGAAAATTCCTCGATTATAAGTTTTGTCTATTGCGATGCAGGAAATATCTGTTTACAATAAACGTACATACATAAATGAAAGAATTAGTACCATGAAACAACCGGCTTGTACGGGTGCTGCTTGACCAGGTTCCTCGTATTCACTATCTTTTAATACCAAGCGGCATTTAGAAGAATCATTACCATGATTTCGAGATTGATCCTTTGTTACACACACCAATTTACGATATTCTGAATGAGAAATATCTCAAAAATTAAATTAAAGAGTTAAGCACATCTCCAATGAAATTGTATGATATCACGTAGTAGGAAGAGTAGAAAATCTATATTTGATTATTTGAATAAGATAGTGAGTGACCGAACTGATTATATTTGCAGATGATTTATCAGTGAACAAAAATCATTTGATTCAATTAAAGCAGTTCTTAATTGATTGCTACCATTATTAATTTAAACTCTTTCAATTAAAAAAATGCACTGTTTAATAAGTGGGTGCGCAGTAGAACATACGTGGATGTGCTATTGAAGTAGCCAAAATTGAAAAACCCAAAATCACTGCTAGTAACATATATGCAGGCAAAACGGAGCACGATGCGATGAATGAAAGAAATATAATTATTGGGATTATATTTAAAATATCTTAATTGTGACCTTTTATCTGTGCTTCTGTCAATATATTTTTTTGCGAGAATTTTTCTCAATAATACTGGTTTCATTATCTCTATTTCTTTATTTACTGGTATGTATTCCAATCATTAAATAAAAACAACACCAAAAGAAATACCTCATTTACTTTTTTTTATTTTTCTTTCTCCACTCAAAATTATTATTATTTATCTATTTACTTATCGGTCAATCAATCAGTTGTGATCATCTCTTTTTCATGAATTAATTGACCATTTACAGATGACAGAACAATTTTCTAATCGTTCCTTTTATTTCTGCTCATTTTTAGTTTTCCTTTAAAATTTTCAAATTTTTTGCTGCAGCGAAAATTAAAAATATATACTCTCTGAAAAATGAATAATAAATTTTATAGCTAAATATTTGCCATAAGAACTTGGCAAAATCCGTATTTGCATAAAAATAATCTTCTTTTGCTACACCAAGTATAGACTGCAGCTTTGATTCCCTAATTTTAATGGATTAAGACTACAAAAAATCAAGTATTTTTACGAATATTTAAAATATGTGCTTTGATATTCAAATGATTTAATATTAGTACTGGAATTCGCTAGTCTTTTCAAAAAGCTATTCTTAGCACAATTTAGTATTTGGCTCAAGATTTCACGATTTCTAGTGCAATTGGTTGAAATTGAATTTTTTGATTTTCTGTTTACTTTCCTTGCATTTCACAATAAATTTGATATTAATTTCTAAAAATCCTCGATGATATCATTTTCAGCAAACTCACAAGTATTTCTATTATGTTTCACATCAAATTAGTCAAATCACACTTATTATAATTTATGCACACTACAAGCAATAAAAATCGTTGATACAGTAATGGCAAAAGAAAAAATGATTGCTAGTAAAATAATTGTTATCTTGAAGAATGTGTTTCGATAAAAAGAAAAATTTTAATATTGTTACTTTGTAACTACACAAGAATATAGTTTTCTGTTCTATTTCAGGTTAAGTGCCTTTTTCCATTGACTCTTACGCTTAACTACATTTTTTATGGTAAGCGAAGTGAATAATATTTATTAAAAAATATGGAGCCCAAGCATGAGTCTGCTTTTGATTCGTTAATTTCCCGACCAAAATACGATTTTGAGATCACTACTATCACCAATTCACGGAATGGTTCGAAAAGTATTTGTTATAATTAGCTTTTTAAAACAGATGCGTGTTCTTTTTCGTACAGCTTCACCTCTTTGAATAACAGCTCTGAAATGCATAGGTAATGAATGATATAAGTTTAATGATCATAATGTAGTCAAGACATAATTCTTGTTTAAAGAGCTAGCACTTTCAAGTATTTCAAAATAAATTTAGTAGATCATTGCATATTTCATCCATAAAATTTGGATGCTGTAAAAAACATGTCATGAAATAAATAAATTCAACCTTTCCAAGAAGGAATAGATCTTTCAATCACATCATTATTTGAGTCATATCTATTTTCGGGAATTGGTAAGTTCCATTCTGCATCTGTGAACCAAAGATTGACGTAAGGATGACGTACTGCTTCATCTATACTTATTCTTTTTTCAGGATCTATTTGCAGCATTTTGAATAATAAATCACGAGCCATGACTCCTAGAAGCAATGGAATTTTTCTGCTTGTCTTGAGAATAACGCAAAACATTCAGTATTATTTAATAATGAGTTAAAGTATTATTGCAGTTAATTTAGATCAGTTTATGCTGGCATAAGATGAAATTTAGAAATTCTTATTAGTTGAATTGTATGCTAACAAACACAAGTTGCATTAAAATTAAAAGAAGGTTTGATAATATTTGCAGCACCACTTCTATATATTATCAAAACTGTAGCACTGATTTCAAGAAAACTTTTAAATAAACACTTTTTTCCTCATATTATCGAAAAATTAGGTGATTATGTGATCAAATTCAAAATTCATCACATTAGTCTAAGTGATTTTGCAAATGCTCATTTAATATAAATTGAAAGGTTGAAAGTGGAAGGAGCTTATTACTGTTACAATTTTATTTGATGATAAAAGTATTAATTTGCAGTAGTACACGTAAAAATGAAAGCAAAATTTTCTTAATTTTGTTTTCATGCAAGAAATCAAGAAACTGACCACATAGTTGTGGCGCTGCATCATAACTTCCAATAAAGCTATCATCTGGAAAGATTTCCTCAAATGGAATTGGATTGATGTGATCTCTCTTCACAAAATTTCTTGTATGATGCTCTAATCTGTAAAAGCTCTATTACAAATGCAATACATTATAGCTCTATTGTGGTTTGATGTAGATCACATTATTGAAGTTTTTTTTTTTATTAGTATTCGAATAACTGAGAAACAGTATAAGTATTAATTACTTGCTGACAAATTCTTTGGTTGGTGTACCCAGAACTTGAACAATTTTATTCCACTGATCAAGTCGATCAGTGCCAGGAAATAAGATCTTTCTATTGATCATTTCGGCTAATATGCAACCGATTGCCCAAACATCAACTGCACTCATTTAACACGTTTGTTATAAGATGATAATTAAATGTTATCATTTCTTAAACATTTGGTTTAATGGATAGAAGAATGTCTTCCTTGAATTTGAAGATTCACACATGCTTATTAAATACATAGGAAGAAGAGGATTAGAAAAACTATAGCCTTTTTCATTTCTTATTATTTGAATAAAATAAATGTAATTATGGAAGTAAAAATATTCGATACAATTTATTGTCAATGACTTTTAATTGTTTTAATTAATCGAATAAATTTAGCATAAATAAAAAAAAACCTTTCTCATCATATGGAAGACCAAGTATCACTTCTGGAGCTCGATAATATCTTGTGACTACGTAAACTGTCATTCGTTCACCCGTTTCAATTTTCCTTGCCAAACCAAAATCAAGAATTTTCAATACACACTTGTCATTCACTACTATATTACTAGGTTTTAAGTCCTGAAATTCAGTAGAGAAATTTTCTTTCTTCAGTTAACTGAAAGTTGTTATAATAAATCGTGTTGCATACTTGTTATGTTTGTATTCTAGTAGTAGTAAGAAGTAATCTAAACTAACGCAAATTAATTTTGCAAAAAAAGAAAAAGTATCAAATTTTTCTTGCGATCGAAATTAACAACACACACGATGTATGATTCCACTTCGATGCATATATTTTATTGCAACGATCATTTGATAAGTAAAGTATGAGAGGTTTTTATTATCCAGTTTGATTTGCTTGATAATTTGTGTTAAATTGTAATTCATCAGCTCCATCACCACATAAATATCATCAAAATCTACTAATGAATCTTGTGGGGTGAATGCATCCTTCAGCGTAATTATCTAAAAAACTTTGTATTGCCAATATCAAAAAAAATTCCTGATTGTTAATTTAGTATTGTGTTTCAAACGTGATTAAACTGATCAACCATTAATGCCAGTTATTCTGCTTGAATAAAACCATTTACAAGAGTCATTCATCATATAATGATTTTCAGTTAAATTTTTCACTATTAATTAATGAGTGAATTTTTTTAATGCGTTTGAAAAATGAGTCAAAAACTAAATATTCAATTTTGAAGCGTTGATAATAAAATTTATTCACAAATAATACAAGTTTCAGCTGTCCGTTACAGGAAATTCGTTTGCATTTTTTGGTTCTCAGTGCTAAGCAATCGTTAATATCCATTTTTTTAAAAGTGGAACTTTACAAACATTGGGATGTTTCATAGTAGTCAATAACATGAATTCACGATATGTCCGTCTGGCGCAGGTTGTTGTCAGAAAAGGATGAATGATTTTTTTAATAGCAACTTGCTCCTTTTCGACAGTATCATATGCTTTTCTGCAATTATAATGCATAATTTGTCTCAAAAATTTCGCAAAATTATTAAGTAAGCAGACACAAAATTGGATAAGAAAAAAAACAAACGTGAAAAAACTTACACCACGACACCTTGAGCACCTGCACTTAAATATTTCAAACTTGTATACCGCTTAGGAACAATAAATTTAGCACTTGCTGAATGTGTCTCAACTTTGATCTCATGAAATGAATTTGAGTCAAAACTCATTCTGGAAATTGAATAATATACGTTAAATATTGTTGAATTACATGCAGTGAAACGAAAAGCGAACTTTTACGCACGCTGGCGAGAATGAAAATGGTAGTGGGAAATGATAAAAACATAGAATGTTAAAGAGCAATGTGGCGTGCTGCTTCGTCTACTTCTATTTTCATATGTAAAAAAAGATTGTTTGAAAAATGGAAAGAAAGAGTGAAGATTGCTTGCAAAAATTTTCAGATAACAAGTTACAAAAAGTGGTAATTTAGTACGCAATGAAACAAAATAAGAATTACTATACTTCATTATAGCTCTAAACAATTATGGACTTGGAAAGAACGACAAAAATTATCATTACTTTTCGTGCTCACTTTACTTTACTGAATACACAACTGATTCATTTATGATCGAAAATTAGCTTGTCATCTTATATCAATATATTTAATGCAATTCTAGTGCTCATTAATTTATTAATGATTAAATTGATTGAAGTTGAAGTTAATGAGAAAATAATCAAAAATAATGAAACAAGTTTTATACACACAAATAAGATTTGATTTTGATCTTTTGAGCCAAAGAAAAAATGAATCATAGCAAATTGTAGACAGTTTTGAGATAACAAATTTTAAGAATCAGCAACACAGTTGACACAGAAGCAAACTACCGAAAATAGTGCACAAATAGTTGGATAACTTATTTTGACTGCTGCTTTTTACTAAAATCAACTAGTCTTAAAAAATGAACTCTAAATCTTTCGACAAGTTTTCATTTGTTATTTGTTCAACAAATAAGTCTGTAAGATATTTTAATAGTGTCTTCGTTCACAACTAACAAAATCGTTTGTATATTTGACTCGCTTCTTCAGTTGAATCAATTGAATCAGAACTTTATATATTAATTTGTATGTTCTTACTAAATTGCTAATGCATATCACATTTTTTGCAACTGCTCTTTGAAACCAAAAAATCATTCAGTTTTATAATTATCGTTACTACCAATATTATAATATTACTAATTTCCACCGTTGAATACTAAATATTTGCACTTTGTATTTTTCTGAATTCAGTAAAACTGTTGTATTAGTTTTTCTGAAAACGATAGGTGCAGTTTATATGCATGGCAATAGAGAAATAAACATTGAGATCAGTGCTGATAAAAAATTAAACGGTTGATAGGGAACAATGCAAAGTTCACATATTCTCCAATGAAAATATTACATTAAAGGTGTTAAAGGTCAGTCAATGTATATATTGGATAATTTCATGCATTTGCATCAACTAATGAAGCAATCATGCGGTTTTCAGCCCTCGCATAGATGAAAAATCACTATAGTCAGAATAGTGTTTTTTATCACAGCGAACTATACAAATACTGAGCAGCAGATAGTTTTTCACGACAATGTGAATCATTACATATAATAAAATATGCTCACGTAATTATGGCAAAACTTGTACAGAAAAGGATAAGAAGCATCAAAAATAATGAACTTATTTTTACATTCAAATTATTAATATTGGATTATTCTTTGCTCTATTTGCTTAGCAATAGACTGTAGTGATAACAAAGATTACAATTAGGAATTTGTGCGGGCAGTAGCAGTAGTGCAAGGAGTAATAGTATTGCTAATATTAATAACAATGAAGAGGAGCAGTGGTGACAGTGATGAGCAGTATTGCTAAGATCTTTCGTTGCGACTTTATCATCTTCCTGTTATAAATAGCACGAATGGTGTTTTTTTTCAACTGAACTGTTGATTTTTACAATCGATAAGGAATTGACGTATCACGTGATGCTTGGCCTCAGTAAATGTTTTGTTTGCAAGCACGCAAGGTGATAAATCAAATATGGAAGAATCTATTTAAATATTGGTTTCCACGGAATTATGCTGACTCCTTCGCTAACTAATTAGATGGAATTATTATTTTGCTTATTGTTGACTCATTTTCAATAGTCATCGATACAGTTTTACATATCATAAAAGATTAATCATTAACTTGAAAATTGCAATTTTAGACAACATTTTTGACTAAGGATTCTCTTGCAAGTAGAAATTATTGTATTAATTTCAACTACATTCACTGACTTAAGAGTGATAAAATGTTTGTAAATGAAATGCATTCTTTTTGGCGAATAGAAAGTTCGAACTGTATGAACTTGAAGAGTTTCAGTGACAGAAAACTGTACAGTTTAGTTTCAGCATAAACGATGATATATTTCACTCAAAACCTAGTTGGATTTATAAAAGTAGTACAAATTTTTGAGAGTATTTTTTTTGTTTGTGGAAATGAGCAAACAGAGTGGAGCAATCATCTGAGTCAACTTTCAGTTCGTTAAAATTGAAAAACTAATACATTCGGCTATTTTAAATTGAAAAAAAAAAGTTCCTTGGTAACGTAAAATTAAACTTTGCAAAAATTCAAGTGAGATTGCTAAATAAATTTGGTTGGCAAATAAAAGCAAGCATGGAAAAGAACAAAGTACTAATATTGGTTTACTTGGCTAACTCTGAAACAATCATAGAAAGAAAAAAAAACGAGAGCATAGTTCAAACTTACCAGTAAATAAATCCTTCAAAATTTTTTATTTTTCATAAAATAGCAATTTTAATCATGTGCAGAAGAAACGTGAAATTTTTAGTTGCTCTTTAATTAATAACTGCTAGAAAACTGGCTAATCCATAAGTTTATTCACTCATCACTAAGTTGATGACTGTTTATATATCTATTTAACTAATTAACTAAGCAGTTAAATACTTGCTACCAATCATTATTCAAGCAACTGTTTTCACCACCTGACCTTATCATCTTCTCTTAACACAATCTTATTTCTTCAAATTTTACTACGGAATTTCCTTCATTACATTTTCAACTTTGTAGGAAGAAAGCTTGCATCTGTACTTGCGATATGTTTTATTTTTGCATACATTTGCTGTTTTTTATTTTTCTGTATGATTTTAAAAATTATACAAGCAAATAAAAATGGCAAGAACATAACAAAAATAATCATTCTTGTTTTGACTACCCATAGTTACATGAAATGCTTGACAACGCTATTTCATGTTCATTTTCATTTTCTTTATCCAGATTTGTAGATAATCTTTGTGAAATGTAGTTCAAAAGATTGCGAACTTTTTTCTCGTCTCCATATAGGTGTTTTATAATTAATTAAAATGTAGATCCACAAGTATGATGATCTTGAAATTGCTAACAATTATTGTATTGCTCGGAACGCATGCAAATTGCAAACTGCAGACGATTACTGTGAAAGGACAATTGGCATGCAATAATAAATCCATTGCAAATGTCAACGTTGAACTACGAGAAGCTGATACTTGTTAGTTGATTGATCATTTTAATAACTTCCATGAGAGTACAAAAATTTTGTTGCATGCATTATTTTTTAAGGCAAACTTAGAATGCTAGAATTAGCCACAAAAAAATTGTCATAATTCTTAAAGAATACCTGCCCCATTAGCCAACTAAATTTCTAGAATTCCTATGTATTAATCGAAAAATTCGTTTATGAAATTTAAAATAGTAATTAATTTGTAAATATCACTGCATACGGTTTTATTTAATAGTTAAGGATCATTTTGCGTAGCATTACTTTCAAAAATGGGTCGTGAAACGAGAAAAAGGAAGACTTTAAATTTGCATACTTTCTAGAAAAAGCCACAGTGTAACCAGACACTTTTAGTCCACAAATTTCATGAAAGAATAAAATTTTGCAGTGGATCCTGATGACACACTGTTTTCCATACATTCTGACCGGCAAGGCCTATTTGAAGTAAGCGGAGAAGAAGATGAAGTAGGTAGTATCGAACCTTACTTGCGTATCACTCATAACTGCGACAGTGGCGTCATCAACCCAGTAAGTAATGCATGATAAATTTTGATCAAAATCAATCATTCTATTCAAAAATTACCCTTAATAATAATTTTATGAAAACATAAAGAACTTCATCTTGCTTTCTTATCTTCGTCTAATAGAAAAGTAATTCTTAGCACTTTTATGAATACAGGAACTTCTGTTCCATTATTGAACGATTCATTTTTGCTAATTTCCACTTCATATTATGTAGTAAAAGGTCTAGTGGTTTTGCTTGAATACCATTATGAGATGGTAAGGTGTGACTTCGAACTAAGTTTACTGATACTTAAATTAATTACTCTTTGATTTCAGGAAGACAAAACACAAATAAATATTTGTACAGTGAAAATTCACCAAATGTGTGTAGGTCACTTTTAAAGAAACTTCATCACTTCAGAAATGTACAGTTGTCGATGATTATATGATTCCCAAAGAATATATCAATGATATCTATGATATGGGCATTGTCAGCTTGAACATAGCTCAAGAAGGAAGGACGAAACACTGTGTTTAAAGAATGGTCAAACTGCTTTTTCAATACTTATAAAGGCTAAAATTTTTAATCTTCACATAATTTTTAATCTTATAGTTTTTATGTGGTATAAAAAAATTTGCGCAAAGATCATCGCATAATACCTATATCAATAAGCGTTTAATAAGTGTAAATATTGTTGAGAATTGAGAATATTACAGACATTTATTTAATGGAAATATACAAGAATTCGCTATACACATGTTTTGCATAATAAGCAAAAGTAATGAACAGTTCGCAGCTGCAACTAACTACTCATAGTTGCCTTCTTCATGCTTTCACACCAAATAAATAGCAAGTAGAAAACTCTATTTTTCTGCTTTAAAACCAAAAGGCAATATATTCTTGGATATTTGGAGCTGCTATTTCTTACTCAAACTTGACTAATTTCCTTTCAACAATCCATTTTAGAAATGAATAAACCAAATGCAGTACCTGTTAAATTGCTTGTGACATTAGCATCTGTGGTACTTTCCAATGCACATTACATCCTTCCAATATTTGCAATATGAACAAGAGGGAGAGAAAAAAGTTGATAAGCAAACAAAAGGCATTAAGCTTCAACCAAAAATGGTGCGAAATTTGCATTCATTACAAACTTCAAGTGAATTTATGACCCTCCTTCATGCACAGGACATCAATAACCTGTGCAACCATTGAAACTTCACTCATTTTTTGCTTTCAAATTCTAAACTAATTTCCCACTGCTTCAATGTGCACTTCTTTTTTTCGGCAAAACGCTCAAACTTCCATCGTCATGAACAGATTGATGATAACTTGACTGCTTCACTAACGTCTTTCCAGATATTTCTCGTAATTCATATTGCTTGTGGTTTTATCTTATCCATGCATTTTATGTGACATACAGTTTTTACATTCTTGAATAAGTCGTTTTTGATTGGTAAAAAAATGCATAAAATTATTTTGACGTACTTCAGGCAACAAAAAATTGAAATGAAAAAGTTAAATAATTACATGTAAGGAAATTTTAGCAAATTTTCATTAGCTTGTATGACTGTATTCAGTTACACTAAACTGGTTTAAAACAATAAAAAGTATCCTAAATTTGATACAGTAACAAAATCATACGCTAAGTTAGAGTGAATAATGTTACGTTAACGTGAAAAAACAGAAATGTCAAGGAAAAAAGTTCGGGAAGCCGTGAAATATCCACCATCTTTTTTGTTCCCATACCTTAAGGAAATTTCTGGAAGCTTCGAGTGGCTTTTTCAAGATTTCATGTATTTTGCAAACGTTAAGAGGTCAGTGTAGGTACAGACATTGCTTGCTACTTGGCGTTTTTTTGCTCTTGTTTCCATCCATACTATTAGTATATACTTTGATAATATTTACTCACTTTTTACTAGCATTATTTTTTGGAAGCAATTCATTTCCATTCGTACTCGTACTTGCTTTGTTTCCGATATTACGTAGTTACTAAAAGTACTAAATACGCGTAAGTCATTGAACTAATTTAGTATTGCTGATAGGTTTTGAGCTGATATGACCATCTATATTCTCTTCCTAGCAGTAAATTGAATTTCTGTCGGTTTTATTATTAATTTTATGCTTTACTCGCGGCTGATCACGAGTAAAGCATAAAATGTGTATGAATTCTCGGTCATATCATCATTTCATTCATATTAGTGCAGTGCATTTAGTGGGAAGTTGGTTCAATTCTCCTAAGAGCAATATCTCTTCATTTTTGATTGTATCGAACTCATTTTTTATAGGTCCGGTTTTTTAGTTTGATCCAATTGATGTGATGAACTCATACTGATTGGATTCTTTTAGTCTCATCTATGCAGTCATGATATAGTTTGATCAGATGTTCTTTAATGTTTGTACTTGAAATTGTGACATTCGTATCAGTGTTTGTTGACTTGAACTCTTATTTTATTTGTTAATTATTTGGTTAAAATTGCTCATGCACTTAGCTTAGCTATTCTGCTCGAATTAGTTTTCTGTTGACTCATGTTATCTATGGTACCATTTGTTTCTGGTCAGATTACTGATTTATAAAAGATACGTAGCGTTCAGTCGTGCATGTGAATAATGATTTGCTTAGAATGTATTTCAGATTTATCATTTTCTAACATCCCACCGAGCGCTTTACTCTGTTGTTTGGAACAACCATTCATTCGTACTATCCGTTTAATAATTCGTTCATTTGCTACATCTGTATCAATCATATCGAGGTTATTTGTTTGTTGATCGTTTTTCTATTTCCAAAACAACGTATAATTTTATTGTCAAACTTCGTTAAGTGTGAACTCTGTCTTTTTTTTATTGGCTTGTGTTTCTTTTAGCTTTGTCCGTCCTTTTATCTCATGCTCGAACCATCTTTTACTGTATTACATCCAAAGAAAAAAATTTATTGAGCAATTTATTTCTCACTAATTTCTGATTTTTGTTCCATCGGGATTCATTGCTAATTAGCCATAATTTTATAGACCAGTCTGTTGAAAGTATTCTCATACAAAGGTATTATCATTTCCTTGTCTCTTTTTCTTTCATTCAAGTTTGGCACATCTTGTGACACATTTTAACAAAAAATATTTGGGGTAAACGTTAAACAAATCAGCTTTCAGACTCTCATTTCTAGTTGCACCATACTATGTTCTTTGGCTGTATTTATTGTTGCATTGAAAATTAACTTATTTAAGTGCTTTTATATTTGATAATATAGCTTTTCAGTTATTTGATTCTGATCAAATTTTAGATTAATTAATGACTACAGCATTATGACTGATGCATGAGTAAGAGAGAGATATATTGGAACTGAATCTTTAAATTAAAAATGGAGAGATGTCGGTAGTATAATTGACACCAATGCTTTAATTAGTAACAAAATAATTTTTTGGCCCAGTCTTTCAAATTAATGTTTCTGTGTGCGTTATTTTCTGACCAAAATGCAAAATGATGGTAATTTCAGTCATGCGAATCAGAATTAAAACATTGGATAGAAAAGACGAAGAATTTGATATCGCTGATGATGTAAGTATTGAACTTCCAAACAACAAATTGGATTTGAAGCTTGTGATTAAATGATGACATTAACTTTAGGCATGTCTGGGTCATTTGCGTAAAATGATTGAAGAAAAAATGGGTGTCATTGAAGCAAGGCAGCGTTTGATCTTTCAAGGACATCCACTTTTGTGTAATGATCGATTGCTTAAAGATTACGGTATAGCTGATGGATTAACTTTACATATGGTTGAGCGTTCACCGGATGCGTAAGTTTTTTATTATTCAATGCTAGGAATAAACCTTCCAGATATAGAAAAAGATTCTCATTCAAACCATCGAGTTAGATATGGGAATTGCAATTCGGATGCTTTTAGACCGCCGTTAGTGGGATCTAATGTTCATCAAGGTGGAGTAAATCGAAATGCAAATCATGGACACAATCATACTATGGGACCTAATATTATTAATGGAGAAGTGACTATTTTGCGCAATTCTATTTTTGAAGATGCTAATAATACAGCAGTAAGTTTCTTGATTTGTACTGTAAGACTAAAAGAAAAGAAATCAAATCTTTTTACTAAAAGAAAAGAAATCAAATCTTTTTACAGTGAAAAGAAACAATTTTGACGCGACGAAAAGTGTGTAGTCATTGCTCAATTTTGTTGAAGTAGCTGGGTTTTTTGGATCATATTAAATTCTGTAATTTATTATTTTCAGAGATTTGTAAGGCAGACAGTTGCGGAAGTATTAGGTGATCTTATTGAGCGAGCAACTATAGAAGTAGAGACATTGTTAAATTTACCACGCCATGGTGATATGACTATACGAGTACATATTAGACGTGGTGCAACACGTCATATTAATTCAGGCGCTCTCAGTAGACTCACATTTATCTCAGAAGCATTGCGCCGGAGCGAACGTACCTTGCAGATTCTGGAGGTTGGAGCATTTATAACGTTTTTTTTTCGATAGAGATGAAAAATTAAAAAAAAAAGGACTTTGAAACAGTGTCACGTATGACATGACAATTCATTTTTTTTTCAGAATAGATTTTTTGAATTTTGCTCTCAAGTTATATTTATTGAGGAAACTTAAGTAATACTGTATTGACGAAAATCTTGAGAAAAAAAATTTCAGCAGGAACCATTTACGTCGATATCAATTGAAGGTTATGAACGTACCATGACCCCTCTAAGAAGTGATGTAGAACGTTGTAAATTTGGTGAAACAATTTTGGAGCTAGAGGAAGTCTTGCATATCTCTCGTATCGGTATATTCTTGTTTACTGTGTTTTCATTTCAAAAATATTAGGTTAAATATGGAAATAGATCGGCCAAGTGTATGATAGAATGGTGAATAATTTGATCACATGGTCTTCGACAGTTTCTGGTCAGACATTTTTACAGTTATTTGTAAAATTAAGGGCATATTTATCTGAAGGTCTTGGGATTTTCACCACTGCTTGTTCTGAGTTTTTTGTAAAGTTGCTATTGATCGAAGTCAGAAATCGGTTTTCATTTTAACTTCTTTTAGAGCTGTTGGGCGAGTCTGGAGAAATAAACAATGGGAATTCGGGTAATTCTTTATAAAGTTCTTCGACATGACTGAAATTTGTAAATATGTCTATGATTGATAGTTTTCAAATCCCACAATCTGAATATGCATCTATTTGCTTCATTTATATATTGTTTTTCTTTGTCATTAACAAGTTGCTTAAGCTTTATATAATTTTTGAGGTGAAATGCATACAACAAGTTCACCACACAATTCGCGAAATCAGACCACTATATTAAGGTTTACATTGGTTTTTTAAAGCAATTTAAAATGCAGCTTTCAAGTTTTATTTCTCTAGGTTTATTAAGAGTTTTAACCCAGCACTATAATGTTAACTGAAGTGACTTCTTCAGACCTTGGAATACAGTTATAGCAGTCTTTATTTTATCTCTTTAATGTGTATTTCAATCCCTAGGGACCTGTCTTTGCTTTCAAATTTTTGGAAGGAAACAAAATAGTGAAACACATTATATTTAATTTTCATACAGAAATTTTACAGACATGCCGTACCAGAAAACTATACGGAACTAATGCGAAAAATATGTGATGTACAAAATATGGCTAGCACTCAGCTGATACGTTATCATGATATCATTCGTGGAAGAAAAATCATGCCAAATAACGTTAGAATTTGTTTGACTTAGTGACGTTAATATGTAAGGATAATATATCTGTAAAATAGTGATATTTTGAAGCTTACGTACAATCAAACTGGTAGTATTGACTATAAAGCAGGTTGTTATTGTTAATTTCAACGATGTTAATATATATTGCTACTGAATTTCTGGTTTATTATTTTAAAAAGTCTTTAGCGTGCTAGATGTATTGCGTTGTGTTTTGAAGAAAATCTTCGACGAGTATTGCATCGTCTTTCACATGTATATCATTCAGTTTCTGATCTCTCAATTAATTTTTCGGAACCTGATTCTCCTCTAGAACCAAGTTCTGCTGGACGTCTTGATGAAGCAGTTACGGAGGTAATAAAATTTTTAAATCTCTCAGGATTGAACAAATTTTATGTCGACCACCAATTGTCTGAAGCAAATATTTCTAAGTGTTTTTTCTCATATGTTTGAAATTCTATAATTTTAAATTAATTGCCCCCAAAAAATAGTATTGAAATATATATCTTTTTCTTTCAGTTCATAATTTTCTATTTCTTTCGCATATTCAGAATATGTTAATTTTTCATTCATTGAATTTAGTATATCAAATCAGTTAGTTCTTTTCCTTTTTATATAACCATTAAGGATAGACTAAGAAACCATTAGTTTTTTAGATCTATGCGACCAGTAATACATCTTTATTATAAGTAGTGCATTTAATTTAATGTTTGTTCAATTTAACATATTATATTACTTTCGTTTTTTGGTTACTCTGAGAACAAATAAAAGAAATTAGGAGCCCCATAATTTAACAATTATTTTTATGCGATTACAAATTTTTCAGGTTCTGATCACTTTGGTTTTCGTATCTCCTAATGAACAAGATTCTCAAGATGCACCAGCTGCGTCAGAAAATCGACAATTAACTAGTGGTGTCATCTTTTCATTTTTTATCATAGTACCAACATTGTTTTTAATGAGATTTTTGACAAGTATTAGGTTTTCATTATTGCAACTCTATTTTGCACGCTTTGAAAAGTTTTTTCTTTTGACAATATTGTGTTCATTAAATTTGATATGGAATAATTATTTCTTAAAAATTATTCCTATAAACTGGAACTAGGCGACTTAGTAAATCATTTGCCGATCCTGTAAATCTCGAATCCAGGAATACTTTTTGCATATTGTAAATGCAGGATCTGTACCAGCCTATCGATTCTCACAAATCTTGCGAACTGTACCCCAAAGTGTTGTTTCGACTCCGACTGCGCGACCTCCAGCGGTTTATGCAATTCCAGATATGAATAGATCCTCAATTTTGACAATGTCAAACTCTAATACTGGAAATCGTATGTCTTCAGGTGATTTGAAAATTTATCCTTATTTTTTGTTGAGAAATGTATGAAATTAGTTGCGTAATGAAAAATAAATTTATCCATTTACTAGTCTCTACTAATCCGGTTCATATGCAAGCTGCTCGGCTTCATTTGGGAACTGGAACAAATACTACAATGCGATTGGAGGGGCAAGGTGTCACTGCTCCAAATTCTAATCAGAGAATTGAAAATCAGAACAGTCAGTCGGCTTCTGTAGAATCTTTTGATCTTCAAACACAGCTTGGTAAAACTTACTTCGATTATCAATGCATACAAATCTTGAACTAACTTTTTTTTCAGCATTTCAATTTTAACTAGTCTTTCACGAGACGTTTTCATTTTCATTGATTTTCTTCTGATAAGGGAATCTGTTTACCCATTACTCGACATATCTTGGAGTGGTAATAATCGGATACCAAATTACCAATGTCGTAAGTGTATTGTACTGCTAAAATAGCATCTGATCAGTAAAGTTAGTATTATTTGTAATTTTTCTAAAATACAGGTAGGGATTTGAATGCCGCTCTCCGAGATACCTTCCAGAGTTTACTCAGAAATATATTGCCCACTTCTTTCGGCAATACGACAAACGTCCAGATCGGCCAAGCTTGTAAGCATCAAACATATCATTGGTCGAGCATGGATTTGTGTCACTGAGTATTTCTCTGCAATAACTGCTTTTATGCTAATTACGATTTCATCATGAAATCGCATGTCTCAAGATAAAAAATCTAAGACTTGAGTTGAGACCTAATAAGATACGAGTTGACTATCTTTTCCTTGTGCCAGGTTTTAATGTATTGAGGACTTCATTTTACACTTTACGATGTTATGCAGTCCCCTATCTTGTGATTCAAAGAGCGAGAAGTGGATATTTCACGGACTTATCTTTCTTTAATGGTTTTGCTTTTTTTAATGTATCAGTATATTACATTTCGTTACTCTAGCATCCGAAACGCAAATGAGTGCCGGTTCTAATCAACTACTACATCCTGTACCTGTGATAGGGGTGCAATGTCATCGCGTAGAAGCACCTCAAGCTCAAACACTAATGCCTACGATTCGTACTCCCTACGGTTCAGGGCTTGTTAGCCAAGTGATTGTTCGTACGAATGGACCAGCAAATGCTGAGGTTATTACTGTCTGCAATTTATGTATCTGTACCGTTATCATTTGTTTTATTCTGAGCAATTTTTTAGGCTGCTCGGCGTGCTATTGATGCTGCAATGCAAGCAGCTACTAATAGTGTTAGCGATAGTGCTGTTCATCTACAAGTGAACAGTATACCAAGAATCTTTTCATCTTTTAGTAGAAATAGGTAATTCTTTTAAGTACTTTCTCTACTTTTAGAGGTAGTTATATTTTATTGTAAAGATTAATGTAGTATCATGTTATAACTAATATTGTCTGTTTTCGTTGAATTGATGTGAGCGAGCTTAATTAAAGTCTCGTTTCATAAGATGTTTCCTTCCTTTATGAGAGGCACTGCATATTAAGTTGTATTATAGATCAGATTCCAGGAGCAGTACAATTTGGGTCCGAAGGAACTATTTCAGTCGAAATAGAGAAGGCAACACAGATGTATGTTTTTTAATAAAACTCCTCAATTCAAATGTAGCCAAAAAATATTGTCAAAATGTTGAACTGGATTTATTTATGTATTTTTCATGAATTTACTTCATCTTAACCATTCAGTTGCTCATTGTCTCCTTTCCTAAAAATTTTGTTTTTTCAAGTGTTTTTTCTGAAAATGGTAGCAATTAATACTTGCGTAGATCAGTAATTGTTCTTTCATTCTAGCACCCGCTTGATATGTTTGTTGGGCCGCATCTTCCAAATGATTTGACGATATATACGAATGATCCACACTTGAATTGTCAAAGCAGTTTTTATAATCCTCGTAATAGCATTCACAATTCAGCAGCTTATGAAACGCTAATTAGAGATATGTACCAGGTATGAGCGATTTATTTATTATGTATGAATAAATGAAGCAATTTCATAATTTCTATTGATTCTGGTTTTTTACATCTCGCAACCCATATCTACATATGGCAGAACAACAATGAAGTGAAGAAAAATTGATAGGATATTTACTACTATTGTTATGTATAGGAAAAATCATTGGTCGTTTTCATTTTGGATATATCACTGATTTGGATCATGTTATTTTACTATAATGTAAAATATTGCTTTTCAGACGGAACTTTCCAAATCCTCTAGTTGCATATATTTTTCTAGTAATTACTAACAATAAATTTGCTTCTTTTTAGGCAACGGTGCGATATAGACAAAGTCTTGATCTAAATTCGCCTGAATTGGCTTATGTGGATTCTTTATTGCACCGTTGGGTTGGTGTCTATTATAAAATTAAGAATTTAATATCGGTTAAATATAATATCAATTAAAATTTAATCCTCTCCTGATGCTTATATTGTGACTTTCAGTATTTCTTTTTTCTTAATAAAAATTCAGTACATGATGGTGTTCCTAGTTCTTTTAACATTTTGAAACTTTAATATCACAAAAATGTTTCAGGATACTTTCTGTCCTATGATTTTGCAGTTTTAATTTGTTGAAGAATAACTTGCATTATTTCGGAGTAGTTACTGCTGTTGATAATAATTGTTGCAGTATAAGATATGAAAGTTGTTTTTAAATCCTGAGAAGTATATTTTTATACAATGTCTTTCACTTCGTTATTTCAATTATAGGATCGTGTCAGGGGTTTACGTAATGGAGAGTCTCATGTTACTATAAATCAGCGGGGTGAAGCTGTGTTTGACCATCCAGAACAGTTTCAAAGTGTTCTAAGAATGATACTAAGACGAGCTGTTGCGAATTTAGATGATTCAGATACTGATATTGCTCGCCTCTTAGACTCTTCTCAAGGCGAATATAGCTTTACTAGTATGTTCACTTTATTCTTGTACCCACTCTATTCTCGTGTATAGCTTTTTTAATCTTAAAACCCGCATTTATTCATGAAATAAAGTGTATGTTTTCATCTTACAGATTATGGTATGGTACCTATATTTAGCACACCAGTACAGGGATTCGATGTTCCTGGACATGCAATAGGTGCAGTTGAGATTGATGCTGTAGATGTTGTGAGTATTTTATGCCTTTTTCTTGAGGGACTGTGTTTAAAATAAAATTTTGAACATTTAAGGATATATTTATGCTGCGAAAAACGGGTCTTGAAAAATAATAAACTATCTTTATCCTTATGCAATAGAATTGAAAAAGAAGATGAACTGCTGATGGCATTAAAATCGTGGAGTCATCTTTTATTCTTTTTCAATATAAAAGATTATTTTTTAACAGAAGTGGTAAAATTTCGAGTGTTACAGGAAACTCCTGATTCTGTAACTGATCACCAGATCAGAAATGAGGATGTCATAGGAGAATTTACAAGTCATGATACTGCTGCAAATAATTCTCAAGAAAATTCCATGTCTCAGGAGAGCTCTACGTCTCAAGCAAACTCTACGTCTCAGGGAGACTCTACATCCCAAGGAGATTCTACGTCTCAAACAGACTCTTCGTCTCAAGGAGATTTTTCGTCTCAAGGAGACTCTGCCTCCTATGGAAACTCTATGTCGGAACTGCAAGCATCTGAAGGTGCTCTTCATTATAATCTTTAAAAAGTTTTCATTATACTGTAGCTGGATGCGTTATTCTACTATCTTGTCTAGTTTTTCGTTGCTTTGTATTGAAGATTAAGCTAGTGATGAAAATCATTTTCAATATTTTATTCACTTCACACATTATTGGTGCCAATGGATCTTTGACTCATCAATATAGGTAGTGAAGTAACCGATATGAATATCATTGAGATGATTCAAACTTTGTCAAATTTGATACGATCTGGGCGTTCGAGTACTCTCGCACAAGTAATGCGAGAGGTTGGGCAACCAGTTACAAGCCTTGATACAGGTTTATCAAATTATTGAGATTAAGTTACTTTTGCATAAATTTAATGGTTTCGTTAAGATAAACATATTTAAACGCATCCTATTTATAAATAGTCCTTATAGGTTTTGTCAATTTGGTTATGGTTCTGGCTTATGAAATACTGCAAATTTCTGAAGTTATTCAAGTTCTTAATGGGAATTTCTCTTCGCTTAGTAAAAACCGACAACATATTCGCCAATTTTTAATTCAGAACGTGTTTAATGATAATTGTCGCCCATCTGATGAAGGTCTATGATCTTTTGAGTGTAATTTAAATTAGTTCTGGGCTTTTTTCAATAATTGGTATATTTTGCAGTTTGTTGCTATTTGATCAAATGTTTATTTGTATGGAATTTTGTTAATTATTGAAAGATTGTTTTACTTCAGTAGTTATAGACTCCGATATGTGTTAATCTTTCATTGCTAAATTTTACTCATCTTTGTTAACTCTTTTTAGATCTAAAGAATGCTGCTGAACGTGTAGCACTAGCTGAAGAGAAATTAGATCTTTTCCTTGCTTATAGCGATGTTCACCGATATGCAGTTGTTGACGGTGTAGGACGAATAGATATCGTTGCAAGTGTTTTGCGTTTAGAAAAACGAATTTTGGAGCAATTTTTACGCCACCTAATGCGAACCGATAATGGTAGTTTGTACTGTCGTTTCTATTTTTATTTCAAGTATTCATTAACTTTTTGTTGTACCATAAAATGCTCGTATTTTAATTTTTTATAGACTTATCTCCAGAAGAATATTCGAAAACTATTGTTGATATATTTACGGCCTATATTTATCGAGCTGTTCTGTTAACAAATTTATCAATGAAAGGCGAACCTTATGACTACGAAAGTCTTATACTTCGTTTCATGGTTATTTTTCAGTATTTAACAAATATTTTTAGTTTTAGTCATCCTTTTATTATAAGTTCTGTGCACTTTTCATTATATATCTGTCAAGTTTAATTTTAGCAAAGACCCACGGGACCAGGTGTAGGTTATCTATCCGTATCAATGGCACAGATGAGCATGTCTCATATAAGACTTTTATTACATCGGGAAACACCTTTTACAATTCATGATATGATGGAGGATATCGTTGTTGTTAATGAACGTACGTTTTTTTCTTTGAAGCTTACATTGGAAATTCAGAGTCAGCAAAATAACTGTAGACAATCTAAAACTTTTACATCATGAAATGTTATTAATATCATATAACCCTCTATAATTTTCATTAGCTTTTGATATCTAGTTAGTCTTGGATTCAATCGTTTCAGGACTGTAAGATTATTATTCTTCGCTTTTGCTTAAGATCATTTTTTTACTTTCTCGAGTTGCATTTTTTTGAGCATGTTGTTGGATGTTTTTGCTGGGGTTGAAATTAATTAGGAGAATATAGATGGTGAACCTCATGAACTGAACCACGTACCTTCGAATAATGGAACTGGAAGTACTTTGGGGAGTACATCCGAAATCGTTACAGTAAGTTAAACGCAATTTCATTACGATTCGCTTATTTCATTAGTAACTTGAATAGTTTTGCTTAGAATCTGTTTTCAGTTAGAGAGCAGTAAAAATTATGACGAAAAGCAGCCAAATGACGTGGAAATGCAAGTTCAGGAAGCTGTAACCAGTGGTAATCAGCTCTCTGCCCTACCTAATGTTTGTTTTCACTGCTTCGGTGTAAAACAAAGTCATAAACCAAAGTTTACTGAGTTTTTGTTCTCGAACCGTTTAGGAATTTAATCTAATGAAATTATAAATTGAAAATCTACGATTGTTTTTCATTTTGTTGCTGAAATTTTGCATTTTATAGATAACGTCAACTTAACATAGCATTAAGTCTGTGATAGTGGTCCATGATTTTGCAAATTGTAGCTGCGCTTATATGTAAGTGTATTGTCGTTTAGGATTGGATATTGGTAATTAAAGATGACAAAAATAGTTCGGTATCACGAAGTATAACCCGCTTCAGTGAAGCCTATACAGCTGGCAGCTGTTCAACTAAAAAAAAGGTTATTACTGAAAATGAAAATTATGTATTTCCGCTTTTCGTCTTAAGCTGTTATGTTAGTTCTGGAAGATTTAGTTCTGAGAACGATTTGTTTCGGCATCACAAAATAACAATTTCAGATCAGAAAAGCAACCGTGGAAGGCTCTTCTGGTAGCATAGTGTCCACTGTCGTTAAACTATCTCTAGAAGAGGCTATAACTTCATCTGGACTTGTCATTCCAGATGTATGTTCAGTTTTTTGTGATTAATTTTTTTTTTCCGGTATATAGAAAAATGATAAAATGATTTGTTTACAAAATATGTACGGACTCCTGCAATACCCAATATATTGTTTTATAGATTGCTAACTCAACTGAAGCCATCAATGCTCTTCAAAATGAATTTGATGATATAGTGCGACAGCGAGTGATGAATGACGAGAAATTTGATCCAAAGAAATATCCGGAGTTAGATAAATTAGTGAAGAGAAATAAAGATCGCTAATTGTTGCCAAAGGTGATTGCACTGAGCATTATTTTTTCATTTTTAATTGCACCTTTGTGCAATATCATTATGTTGCCTATAGCTATTTCTTCCTACCTACACTTGCGTGTACGTTTTTTGGTTCAAATAATAAAATCTGTAGTCATTATAAATCATAGGAAATGAAACATGCATGCTATATAATTGTTTTATTGAAGGACTACTCAAATTTTAAAGTGTTTATGGGTGAAAAATTGAATTGAGGAAGGTAAAACGCTTCGTATTGAAGTTTGTTTCATGCTGCCTTATTATTTTATAGTACAGACCTTAAGAAATGTTATGTTCCACATCGGGTAGTTCGGTTTCTTGAAGTATTGTGGTTTTTACTATAACCTAAGTCATTCTGATGTTTCTCTCGCACAGCGTACATGGATATAATCTTTTGTTGATTGCGAATAATATGAAGGAAAGGGGATATCCTTGAATTCTTACCACAATGGATACTGAAGATCTGCATTCCAGATAGTGCATCAGTTGCATCAAAGCGTGACGGGTTTCTGTTACTTTTTTGGCATTAACAGGTCTGCGGAAAAAAAAGGCGGATTTACATTGCAATGTTTTTGTTTGTTGGGAGTGTTGCGTTGTTTCTGAGCTTCTGTTCGTTAAGAAATTGCAACTTTTGTCCTTTTCTTGACAGCAAAATTGCTTGATGATAGAGTTTCTTGCTATTGTTTTTTGTAACTCATCTATTTATTACAGAATGTGCATGAATCGCTATCAGTCTAGGTGTACGTACCATAAGTTGCGATTAGTTTAGTCAAGAAATTCCATATTTATCATTATTTGGTTATTGGTAAGTGGTAAGGGATTATTTATCTTTACGCAAATAACATTTTCGTTGTGTCTTTCAGTTCTAATAGGATTTTTTGCGTGTCTGGTAATGTCATTATTTATTGCAGTTACGTTAGGCATGTAATTACTTTGAATATTAATTGGGATTGTTAGTTATCAGTTAAGGAGATATTGATCATTTTGTGAAAGCGACAAAGGGATATTTGCTTTATTGCGTAAGAATATGTATTTAGTATATTTCACATAGTTACATTTGTAGCTGATAATTTATATTCGAAATCTTATGAAACGCATTTCTTCCTCATTTTTCAATGAGTCAGTTAAAAACAAAAATCTGAAATAAAATGCGTATTTGCTGTCTCAGTAAGTTAGTGCTCTAATTTATGATAGACTGTAGACAAATTTATGTTGAGCAATAAGGAGAGGTGTGTCTTATTTCTGCTGTTATTTTCTCGCATGCAGCAATAATTAGTTTAACATATTGTTAGTATGTGAAGGAGAAAATGAGAATTTGCGAAATTACAATTGCTCGGCAATGATTGGCATATTCTATACCAAATAATGTATTCCGTAGCATGGTTGAAACATTGAAATGTACTTGTAACTATGTAGTCTTGAACTTGCAGAAATTTTTGCTTCGATTTGGAATCAAGTTAAGATTAAATCATGTTGGCATTCATTTCGCAAAATCAGTGTTGCATAAACATTCCATTCTAAATACAACGAAACATTTTTAGAGATACTTACTTCTCTTGTGTACTTCATGATGTAGAAACTGAAGCACAATAAATATGCACCTGGTTTAAATTTGTAGCGATGCACTCAGCATTTTTTCTTCGGAGAACAAACATACTATGTTAATTAAAGTACGTACAGTTATTTGCATTCGAGTTTGTCACCCCATGAAAAACATTTACGTTGTCATTCCATGACAACAGAGATGCTAAATATTATATATATATATATATTTCGGCATTTTAGCTCTATTTGTAAGCGCTCAGACTCAGACTTGTGCTGATTTCCATTGCTTCATCGTTATGCATACCGTTGCGCTGGTCGAATGAGGTACTTTCGAGCGCTTTCTTGAGCACAGTCGATTGGATATACGTCTCGATATGATCAGATACCATGATCTCTTCGTAACGTTTATGAAAGTTCGTCACTATCCCATCTGAAATCACGGAATTACGCCCTGCTTTCATCTCCCGAATTTATTAGCCATTAAGCCATACCTTCCCTTCTCCGTCTCTCAGTCCCATCTGGATGTGATGCTTCTCAGAAACCTGCCGATCCACGATGGCATGTTAAGCCTTTCAATGCACTTAATCAGGTATTCGTGATTAACTGAATCGAGCGCTTTTTTGATGTCATACCTCGTAGTATAAAGCTGGTTCCCGTACTCTCTGCAAATCGCCAGATTCAACAATCCATGTTCCTTTGTACCCTGAACCTGATAAACAGTTCCTAATTGATTATCTGCAAGCAGCTTTCTCATGGCAACATCCAGCTGCATGACACGTGCTCCATTTCCACTATCAACTTGTAATGGTTCGACATACAAAGTTTTGTCTTGGAGTCGCTGCCTTTACTTGGGACACCTTTTGGAATAACTTTGTAAAACCATGGGTCCTGTTCTTTTCATCCAGGCAAATCAGCTTTACTATTTCTTAATGGACTCCATCAGGCCTTCCAATTGGCAAATAGGGAACTGTCCTTCCAAATTCGGCTTCAGATAGGAAAGTATCACACACTTTATGATCTGCAACAAATTCTTCCAGATATTCGTTGTGCTGGATATCATCATGCTTTCCCATTCCGGATTTCCACATCGTACTCCAAAAATCCCTGATTTCTTCTGTCCCTACATTGTGACCGGTAGGCTGTTCTTTAGTTAGATTTCTGAACAGCTCGAGTCTGACGCTTTGGATTTTGAATGCAGTACGGGACTCATAACTTCTAATTTTACCGTAAACCCTCACATGTTCTGCCAATATGCTTAACGCTTTATGGCAGCCACACTTGAGAGCAAGTACGAGATTGAGATTCATGCTCTTCATACACTTCTTGGCCTCCCTCAGGTTTTTACCTTCAAGTATATCATCGGCCAAATACCGCAATGTGTGTGTTTTGAGGAAGTTTGTTCACACCCATCTTCTTTTCTATACTTGCCTACATCGATGGCTTCTTTCGACCTCTCTTGTCTTCATAACATTGTTGTGCCTTGTAATATCGGTCCTTGACTTGGGGAGATTCTGTGTGACATATTCACCCGTCACTTGGTTCACTGCTCCAAGTATATGCAAGTCAACACTTTCAAATATTATTTTCCTCGTCCACTTTGTCTGGTTTTTGATAATCAAGTTTGACATGAATAACTTTAAGTATTTGACTTATGCAAGATGTATAGTAAGGAAACACTGGTAGACTATTTTCATGGGATTCAAGAAATAGTATTTTCCATGGGTAGACTATTCGTGGGATGCAAACTGTAAAAAATTGCATAATTGGTTTATTGTAGAAAATTGGATGTGGTTTACGGTGTGAAAGAAAACTTTCAAAACTCTAGTTAAAACTGTGAAATACTTTGTAAAGACTTACTGAACATTGTCTTATCGAAAAAAAATTCATTTTTGTTAGGAAGAATGTTCAGTAAACTTCTATAATGCTTTTTTTCTTTAAAAAGTATTATTTGAAATTAGTATGTGCTAAGAACAGTGGGTCTAAATTTTTTCTTAAATTAAGTTTCCTATTGTAGTTTCTTGTTTTACAGCATTTATAGTTTCTTGTTTTACAGCATTTATAGAATGCATTAACAAAGTGAGTCATTGCATTACTGACTTACGGTGATGACATCAGGTAATATTTAACTGGAAGATTTGTGAGATCCATTATATAATATTAGTTCAGAATAAAATGTAGTAAAATTTGTACCATTTTTTAGTGCTCATTAAATTTCGACATTATTCATTCAGTTTATAAAATAATTGTTTTTTGCATCTACTGCAGTATAAAATATAGAGAGGCAAGGCAAAGTACTATGGTAATTCAAATTTGTTTGTGAATAATGGAAAATCGTGGCTAATATGAAAATAAATGTAATGAACATCACCTAATAATTTGTTTCTTCTACTAATTTGGGACAAGTCGCTATAATGAAAGTATAAATTACCATTTATAATCATTTGATGTATAGTGTTCCAGCACTTTGTGTTCTGTTCTGCATTTTAAATCTCATGGAAATAGTCTACCAGTGTTTCCTACTATACATCTTGTATAAGTCAAATACTTCAAGTTATTTATCTTAAACGTGACGATCAAAATTTAAAGTAAATTTTAATAGTCAGCTAGGAAATATATTTATGACTAGTGTTCACGAGCAAATTTAACGCATCCGTACATAACAGTGGGTTGCCTTTGTTTATGATACCGCCATTTCTATTAAAGCACTCTCATCCATGACAATAGTTTGCATAATTTCGAGTCTCAGTGTAAAATTTGAAGTTTAACATCCGAAAAGATTTACTAATTTTTGTTTGACAAATTTTTATCATGTCCAAAATAACGGAAAACGTTAAAGCCATATATTTTCACATTTGTCAGTTTTTTCAGCTCACGCACTCAAAACTATTCTGAACTTAGTTTTTTTAATCATTGGATTCTGATCATGAGCTAACTGTTTGTACTGGTAACTTGGGTAATGCTTTTCAGCTGAAATTTTGTTTTGATGTTTTGCATTTTACAAACGTAAGGTTCTTCTCTCAACATTTGGTTGTAATTTTACAATTCATGAAATCCTGATGAACTCAGGTAATTCTCAGTTATTCATTAGCTTAACTATTTAGAAAGATGAAGTTTGTGTAATTACTATAAACGAATTGCTGAAAAAAAAACAATAAGGAACTTGCAAATTTTAAGTCAAGAGACTACTTTACTACTTCAATATATTAAATGTTCTATTAAAACAGCTTAATTTGAGTATTTATTATGATTTCAAGTGAATAAGCAGTATCTTTTAAGTAATTAGTTATTTTATCAATTCTGATGTACAGTGCAAAGAAATAGCGATCTTCACGATATTCAACAATTGACTTTTCTTTACAGAAAACGAAGTCAGGATGCGCTGGTAATATGTGTAAAATAGAAGCTGTTTCATGCGTGAACACAAGATTCTTTTTCAACTCTTATTTCTTCTGTAATGTAAAAAATTGAGTGATTTTATCTCAAACAATAGATAGAACTCTTGTGTTATTTTTGGTTGGAAATATTTTTTCTTCTCTAAAGCAGTTTTTTTTTTACATTATTATTATAGCAATGTAAGTCAGATATAATTTCTGCATTATTATCAGTTTGTGTTGTTGCTCACATCAGAAATACAATGGCAAATTTACTGAAGCAATACATAATATGAATTGAGAATTCTGTATTTAACCATTCAGTACCAGCTTTTTCAAATGATGTATTAGTGAGTGCGCGATACATTTATCGTCAAATTCTCTACTAAAATCTGATTCTATTACTTCTATCAAGTTTGAAAACTCAACATCCCAAAGTGCCATTACACCGTTCCTGAAATTCATCACAAGAAGAGCATCTAATATGAATATGACGAAAAATATGGTAGTAAATCATGACATAACTTCAAAAAAAGATGAGTTTAATGATGAAATGACATTGAAGATAGAGAACTTTTAGAAAATACATCAATGAATTTTATGGATGGACGCACGGCTGAAATAATGAGGCGTATAGAGTTTGATAACAATTCAAATGTATTATCAAACAGATGAACAAGATGACGGAAAAGAAGGACTAGAAGAAAGGAATACGGAATATGCTACAAATATTACTTCCTCAACCACATATTTTGCCTATAACAGTAATGTCATGCACAAAATGAAGAAAAAGAACAATGAACTAAGGGTGTTATGTCGCAATTAAATCATCCAAACAACATGATATCACAGACACATTCAAGGAAAATTGAGACAACAAGTTTGCATACATGGACAACTTTAATTTCTTTCTATAAAAGAATTCAACTCTTATGAAAGAACACAAATTGTAACGACAGTACAATATAATGTTCCTATGGATAGAAAGTGCAAGTTACAATCAGTTAGAACTTTCTAAGTCTGTAATTTCAAAAAATAATATAGATTTTATTGCATCATGCAAATTACCATTATTTGTAATTGCTCAAATTACAAATAGTATAAGTAACAGTCAGTCGAGACAATCTCTCATTTACAAATCTTATGGAAAACAACAAAAATTAATTTTTAATGTGACATAAAACAAATTTTTGTTACAATAATACCATCTCAAGTAATTGTTAACATAAGTCTTCCTTTCATTGCATAAAATAATCATATGAAATGAATTATAATAATTTTCTCACATTGAAAGCGGCAAAAATCTCCAGGCTTTAAATCTTAAATTTAACCAATAAATCTGGTATACGTTACAAATTATCAGATTATGACTCACGAAATACTAGTAAAAGTGTGGAAGCATTGAAGAAATACAGTCATTTAAATCTATCCGATAACAATAGAGAACATCCTCGAAGGAATCCACTCTACTAATGATAGTGATAGTTATGACACAATAATGGAAGTAGTTACACTGGAAATCGTAAGGATGCTGATAACTATCGTTACGAATTGAGAAAGTTTTAGGATCTCACAGCAAGATGGAGCAACAATAAAAATGTAACAAAAAGGATCCAAATAACGCAAGAGCATTCATCTGCTAGAGAAAAGTAATAGTGGTAAAGAGAGCGAAAATAAAAAAGAATGATGAGAATGAAGAGAGCATAGGTGATAAGAATGATAGCAAGTAACGATATGCTAGCAATAAAAAGTATGAGGTCGAAGAAATTGATAAAACTGATGATAGAAACGCAAGTGAAATTAACGATGATAACGTCATGAAAGACACTATCTAGAAATTGGCAAAAGAAACGATCATTGCAATAGTGGAACGAAATACGAGTACTTTACGTGCTGAACGGAGTCAAATTAAAGCACGACCAAATTATTTTGGCCTTCCAGACAAAGATTTGAATTGGACGTGGAAAAGTAAAAATGATTCCTTGGTGGATTGTTGCATTAGCTGGATTATTAGTCGCAACAATTACTAGTGTTGTGATTTTTAAAATCATCAAGGCAAGGTTTGTCATTTTATTTTCCAGCAGTTGCAA